TAAGCAACATGTAGTTGGATTAAAAAAAAATCTAAACTAGTAGCTGTTCTTTAATGGATAAGTTTAACCTGCTAACCTTTTTGTATGATTATTGCTGTACTATGTCTACCACATTATTTATGTTTTTCTTTACTGCTATTTTCCTACTTTTTATTTATTTTATTTTATTTTATTTTTTTAAATAAATTTTTATTGTTCATATTATTACAAATGTTCCTTTTCCCCCCCCCCACCATTGCTCTCCTCCACCAGGTTCCCACCCCACCCTCTGCCCTTTCCCCACTCCCCATTGTCCTCATCCATATGTGCACAGTTTATGTTCAGTTTCTTCCCATATCCCCTTCTCCCCTTTTCCCCAAGAATTATTTTCCTACTTTTAAACTGTCATTAGATGGTTAGGTTTTTTTTTTTTTTTTCTTCATTCTTCCCTACTCCCATTGACTTGGAAACTATATTATTGTTCTTTTAGCAATGACCTTTAACTTTTTGGCATTTCTATTTTGCTATTAATTTTTCTGAGAAAATCAAAGATCATTTACTATTTCTATTCTCTGTCAGATAGTATACTTTAATCACAGAACCTCATGTCTTTTGGTCTAGAAATTATTATTATTTAGTAATTATACAATAATTAGAATTAAATAGAATTATTTAGCAAACAATTAAATCTGTCCATGTGTTTTTACCAATTTCTGAGTTCACCTTTGTTTCTTGCATGACATTCATTTCCTTGATTTTACATCTTGTTGCTTAAGTACAATACCTGCCCTTATTTCATTTCCATTTTCTTTGGCTCCAAATTTCCTTATTGTTATGATTCATGTTATTTTTCCTTTATTCTTGTGGGTCCTATCTAACTAGAACAGTTATTTGGTGGTCACTCTATTGCTCTACCTTGGCTTGGGTGAATTAGCCTCCTGAGAACTGGCTTTCTTTCTTAGTGTTAGACTGCCTCATGTCTTTTGGAACTTGGCTTTGAAGGATTATCTTGAATGGGAAGCCCATCCATTTCCCCTACACGCATCCTTTATAGTCATCTCCAACAGCCACTGAGGCCCCATCAAAGGACCTGGTCTCATTTGGGTAGTTTAGGCTTGGGTTCTCTGAGGGGATGGAATAGGAGGGATTTAAGAGCCTGCCTGGATTACCCAGGTCCTGGCTGGAAGACTACACCTCCCTCCTTCCACCTTCCTAGTCACAGAGCTTTAACAAACCCAATCCTGGGCCGGGGTACATCACAGTTGGTTTTTAACTCCTTTCTCAATGGCCTGCCAGGCCCAGTGAGTTTGAAGGAAAACCCCTGCTTTATGTGTGACACTTGTAGTTCCTTGTACCCCACAGGCTAAAGCTCCTGGCCACCTCTGCCTGCCTCTTGGGACCAATCCCAGCACACCTACAATTGAGCCAGCACCTCCTCTTGGTTTTGTCTTCTATATCGAGCCCAGAAAGATGTCTGTCTTGCTTTTGACAGTGGCTATGTCCTATTCATTCTCACAATTTATATTTTCTCTGAGTGCCATGGATTAGAGGGAGAGCCCAAAGCATGGACTTCAAGTGCCATCTTGGCTGGAGGCTTCTGTACAGTTTAAACCATTTTCAGTTTCTTTAGAATATTATCATTTCCAACCTTAAACTCCTAACTGATACAGGCACCTATCTGATAAGGTTGTTTTGAAGATTACATGGGATTTTTCTAATTTAAAAGCTCTGTACACTGTCTGAAATAGAGTAAAGCTTTAAAAAAGTGATTGCTTTGTTGGTTTTTATTATCTACACCCCCCCCCCCCCCCCCACACACACACACACTTCTGCTCACTCTGGTTCGGCAGAACTTGTAGGCGAGGCTTTCTCTTGGGTTATATCTGCTCTTTTTCCACCAAACATACTAGTTTCTGTTGACACCTCTCCCTTTTTCTGTTCATGTTTGCTATTTCAGAACGAATGTTTCCTCAATTTGAAGACGGTCTTTTGGAAAGAACAGTCACCCACGCATCCCTCCCGTGCTAGCCAGGACAGGACATGGGGAAGATCACTCTCTCCCGCTCCCTCGTGTGGTTTCTGTGAGATGCTCAAGGCGAAGGCTATGCAAAGATGAGGAAATAATTATGTTCCCATTTATGAAACAATGCATTATTTTAACTCTCAGACACCATAAGCTGTTGAAGGGAGTTCCCTGTTTGGCTCCAGGTAAACTGGGTTTGAGCTGAGACTGGGAGCTGAAGGTTTGGGGATCAGGAAGGCCAAGAAGAGGAACCGAGTGGACCCTCTCTTTTCCGGGAGGGGCTGAGAAGGGAAGCTGAGGATCTAACACCCCAGGTGGGAAGCAGGGATCCTGGGGCATGTTGAGATGGTGTCAGAGCACAGCTGCTCTGAGTCCGTATATTCTTCTGAATTCTGCTATCAGCTACGCCAACTATCAAAGCAGGACTCAATTCTTGGAGTACTTACTCCAAAATCCTGCTCACAGCACCAGGTGTAGAGCACTCACTGCTCCATTATGCCTGCTGGTCCAAGTGTAGGAGCACAGGTCCTGATCCTGCCCTACTATGCTAACTATCAGGACTGAGCCCCTCTGCCAGGGGCTGGACCTTCTTGGATGCCGGATGGTAGACAAAGAAGCCATGAGAAGTTGTGGGTGTATAAGAGTGTGTCTTTATTGTAGGAGACAGTGGTCATATGGCCACCAGACAAAACAGTTCTTCACAACCATGTCTCAATAGGCAGCTGCACACAAGTTGATGAATAAATACATCTTTCTCACAAAGTGGTTGTAGCCTCTGTACCCAGTCATTATCTGAGCAGCCATACACTGCCTCTAGACCTACTGCCTCACATAGCAGCAGCCCCTGAGCTCCTAACCTCAGCAGTCTCAGGAGCCTCTCTCTAGCCTCTCCAGCCTTTTCCTCTTTTCTGAACCACTCTAGCTGGTCAGTCACATGGATTATAGTACTTAGACAAAAAGGACTCTTGACAATAGTAACATCATATTTTGGCTACAGAAAGGCACATGTGCACAGTGTACAGTGAGATTGCTGTCCTTGCACCTGTGTATAGATGGCATCTTAGCCTTGAATATACTGATTAAGATTCCCATAATCAGAGTGGCCTTGGCCATCGGTATGGTAACAATAAGGCTTTCATTCTCTAATTGACCTTGAGTATCCTGTGACTCTGGCCTGGCTCCCACAGATGGGAATGGTGGTGGTGGTGGTGGCATTATTCCCATTTTAAAGATGACTAACAGAGACCAGGGAGCTGAGCTACTTCCCCCAAAGCCACAGGCCTGAGGCAGCTGAAGGAGAACTTGAAGGCTTGGCACTGAGCACAGCGCTCTTTCTGTGCCTGCGTTGAGGGAGAACTGAAAGTGACAGTTGCCTGACTTCTGGTGTCTGCCTCCTTGTGATGAGGAAGGAGAAGTAGCTAATGTTCATAAATCTGCAGCCGATGTTGCCCCAAACCCCGAGTGTGATGTCTTTTCAAGAGAACTCATGACAAATCTGGGTATGAGACAACCCAGGACTATGGGGTGCCCCTGGATGAAACCTCCTGAAGGCCCCGCACAGCTCAGCGTGCCCACCTGCTGGACAGGGTGCTCACGCTGTGAAAGGGGCTGCTGAGGCCGAGAGGAGAAGACCTCCTCCTGGAGGATGGGAGACCTTTTTCCACCAGACAGGGAGGCTGAGGTTGAGAGCTGACCTTTAGGATGTCTTTCTACCATGAGACCATGTCTGCTTCCAGGATGATACCTCGTAGAATGCTTTGCTGCTTGTGTCTGCAGGAAAGAGAAAAGACCAAGGTTTAGATTCTGCTACTGGGAATGGACAGGTGGATGTCTCTGGCCCTTGGAGCTGACTCACCAGCCTTTTCCTCTTTTCCACAACCTAGGGCAAGACAGGTCTCAGGTGAAGGCCTTGAGCCCTCAGCTGCAGCAGGTAAAGGAAAAGAGGCAGATGAAAGCATGGGCATGAGTTGAAACTTATCTTCTCATTCTTAGCATTTTTCTCTCTCTTTAAAAAATTAAAAAAAATTCATTTCAGAGAGGAAGGGAGAGATAGAAACATCAGCAATGAGAGAGAATCATTGATTGGCTGCCTCCTGCAGCCCTCAACTGGGGATTGAGCCGGGTCCTGGGCATGTGCCGTGACTTGGAATCGATCTATAACCTCATGGTTCATAGGTTGAAGCTCAACCACTCAGCTATGCCAGCCGGGCAGCAATTCTCTCTTGGTACTGCTTGGACCATGTTCCCAATTCCCTCCCTGCTGGCATACTCAAGAGGCTCAACGTCTGTGTCCTTCTGCCCTTTCATCCCTTTTCTATGTTCCCTAAGAGCTGTCTGATCTTTTCTTGGCATTGGTGGCGCTGGGGGTGTCTGGCTGGGCTGCATTCCCATCTGACCAAGCTTCTGACCTTTCTTCTGCAGTTGGCATGTGAGTGTTATTCCTGGCTGCCCTCCCTAGGGGCTGGCTTTTCCCAGGGCTTGAAGCACACTGAGAGCTGGGAGCAGGAGCTACACAGTCTGCTGGCCTCGTTGCACAGTCTGCTAGGGGCTCTCTATGAGGGAGCAGAACCAGGTAGGGACCATGGCCAGTAGTCAGTGGCAGAATGGTTGGGGAGCGTGGCAGCAGGGAACCAGGAGGGTGGCCCCAGGAGTGGGACCGTTGATTTCTAGGCAGAATAGTGGGTCATCCATCAAAGGGTAGGGTTCAGCTGAGACCGGTTTGGGTCAATGGATAGAGCATCGACTTGGGGACTGAAGGGTCCTGGGTTCAATTCCAGTCAAGGGCATGTACCTTGGTTGTGGGCATATCCCCAGTAGGGGGTGTGCAAGAGGCAGCTGATCAATGACTCTCTCCCATCGATGTTTCTAACTCTCTATCTCTCTCCCTTCCTCTCTGTACAAAATCAATTAAAAAAAAAAAGGGTAGGGTTCAGAAGTATTTTCAGTTTGGGGAATAATCTACAGCTGTTCAGGTGTTTGGCCAACAGGAGGCAATAATATGCAGATTTCAGATGCTCTGAGCTGCCTGGCAGTTAAGGATTATCCTATTCAGGTTTGGGGGAGGTGTGGTTTAGCAGTTTCCAGATGATTCAGCCCTGCTGACATGCTGGAATTGTTTCCTGGCAGATCCATCCACGGGATCCTCCTCTGTAGTCCATGGGTCCCACCTACCTCACACCTCTCCAGTTCTTCCTCCGGAGGCCCAAACCTTTCATTTCCCAGATCCCATGCCCTCAGCTGGCCCTGTGCCCCTGGTAGGCCCAGTGCTTCCAGCACGTCCTGAACCTCCAGCCACAGCCAACCACTTAGGCCTCTCTGTCCCAGGCCCGGTGTCTGTACCCCCGTGGCTCCTTCCTGGCCCTGAGAACCACCGGGCAGGCTCAAATGAGGAGCCCATCCTTGCTTCTAGTGGCACTCCCCCACCGGTGATACCCCCAGAGGAAACTTTCGGGGGGAGAGTGCCCAGGCCAGCCTTTGTGCACTATGATAAGGAGGAGGCGTCTGATGTAGAGATCTCCTTAGAAAGTGACTCTGGTGACAGTGTGGTGATTGTGCCTGAGGGGTTTCCGCCCCTGCCACCCCCACCCCCCTCAGACACCACCCCACCTCCTGTTGCCCCAGCTGGGCCACCAGCAGCCTCCCCTCCTCTACTGGCCAAGGAGGAGCCCGAAGAGCTTCCTACAGTCCTGGGGCCTCTCCCTCCACCTCCACCCCCTCCTGTTCCTGGCCCTGTGACACTCCAACCACCGCAGTTGGTGCCTGAAGGAACTCCTAGTGGGGGAGGACCCTCAGCCCTGGAAGAAGACTTGACAGTAATTAATATCAACAGCAGTGATGAGGAGGAGGAAGAGGAAGAAGAGGAGAAAGAGGAAGAGGGAGAGGAGGAAGAAGAGGAGGAAGATTTTGAGGAGGAAGAAGAGGATGAGGAAGACTATTTTGAAGAGGAGGAGGAGTTTGAGAAGAAATTTGAGGAAGAGGAGGATGAATTAGAGGAAGAGGAGGAGGAGGAGGAGGAAGAGTTGGAAGAGGTGGAAGAGTTGGAGTTTGGCTCAGCCGGAGGGGTGGTAGAAGAAGGAGGACCTCCACCCACCAGCGTGCCTCCAGATCTTCCTCCTGCCGAGTCCCCCAAGGTGCAGCCTGAGCCAGAGCCAGAGCCTGGGCTGCTGTTAGAAGTGGAGGAGCAGGGGGCGAAGGAAGAGCGTGGGGCTGAGACTGTACTTACACTGGCCCCTGAGGTGCTCACCTCCCAGGAGGAGCTGGAGAAGGAAGGGGGAAGCCCCACAGCAGGGCCACCTCCTCAGGAGCTAGTGGAAGAGGAGCCCTGTGCTCCTCCGCCAGCCATGCTGGATGAGGGGACTGAGAGTGGGCGTGATGGGGTATGCCCCCAATCAGAGACATCTGCAGTTGAAGAAATGGAGACTGAGACGGCCCCTCCCCAGGAAAAGGTGAGTGGGCTGGACTGGGAGGCATCTCTGGGCGGGGAAGGTGAGAGAGGGAGGAGGCGGGCTGAGGGAAGAGGGGGTTGCAGCTGTTAGTGTTAGAGAAGGGCTGTGTCCAAGTCTGCCCCACTCCTGTATGAGTGTGAGACTGTTTTGAATCTTATGTCTTTGTCCCTCAAAGGAGCAGGATGACACAGCTGCCATGCTGGCTGACTTCATTGATTGTCCCCCTGATGACGAGAAGCCACCACCTGTCACAGAGCCTGATTCCTAGCCGTCTCCTACACCCCCACTCATTTCCAATAAAGTTATGTACTTTGACATGGACCACTGCTGCTGCCTTTTGCCATAATTGTGTCTTGCCCCCACCCCCCCACACACCTCCTGCCTGCGTCACCACCTCCCTGGCAGGAATTTGACAAGTTCACCCCAGGCCTTCCTACCCATTCTTGAGATTTGGACATTCCTGGCCTGTGTCTGATCCCTTTAAGCAGTTCTACATATTCCAGGCCCTGCTGGGGTGCGTGTGTGAGCATGAACCAGAGGTGTAGACGTGAGGGTATTGAAATCTATGAACTGGAGGTAGGTGCCCCATGATATTTTCACTCACTCAGTCTATTGAAGGGTGAGCATAAGGGAAGGATCTTGGAAATGCAGAAAAGGGAGTAACGTCCCAAGTATGTGTAATCTGAGGGGTGATGTTTGAGCTAATTTGGGGGAAACTTAGGGGTTTTAAAATTTCCCTCAACTTGTTTTTTCAAAAATTTCAAGGCTGCAGAAAAGTTAGAAGAATAGAACAGTATAATACCTTTGCATAGGTTAAGCAGTTGTTAACATTTTCTCATGTCAGCATTTATAATGTCTGTATCTACTTATAGACTTGTATTTATATGTGTACTTGAATCTGTAATCAACACACAGTTATATGTTTATACATGTTTTGTGTGGGGCTATGTAAAAATTTTCAGACATCATGATCCTTCACATCCAAGTTCTTCAACCTTAATTCCCAAGGTTAAGACATTTTTTCTACATTATCACAGTACCACTATCAGACCTAAGAAAAGTCACAGCAATAAAATATTACATGTATTATATTGTGAGGTTCCAGTTTCCTATTTATCTCTAAAATGTTTTTGATAGCTGACTCTCCTCCACCTCCCCACCCTTTGATTTAATTTCAGGGCTGTTATTTTCTTAGGTAGAGAGGGCCATTTAAGGCTTATGGATCACTGCAAGGACAGGCACGAGGTGTGAAACTTTGCAATATTGATTTTTTAAAAATGTAAAAAACCTGAATTCTGGAACCTGGCTAGGTAAAGTTGACGTTGACCCTGAGCAAGAGGCTAGAACAGAAAGTTTTAAAATTTGCACTGTATTGTGAGTAGGATAACATATTCACAGTTCAGAATCCAAGAGAGAGAAAATGTTAGTTGAAAAGTTTCACCATGTTGCTCTGTCACCTAGAGCAGCCAGTATGACCAGTTTTTATCTGTTTTTCCAGAGATAATGTAGCGTATATCAGCAATTATGTACAAAAGTCCCTACTTTTCCCAAGAGGGTAGTATGTTATCACTTAACATAAGTCAATTTCACTAAGTCATGGGATTCACTTAGTATTGAGTATCAATTAGGTACTTGGCACTGATTTCTCATTAATATATGTATTTTTAAATAATGATTGGCCCACAGGAGGTTGCAATGATAGTATGAGAGGAAGGGAGTGACGAGGCACCTGTACCCTGTTTCCCACAATGCTTACATCACATGTGTCAAACACAAGGTCCGCGGGCCAAATCCGTCCCGCCAGGCCTTGCAATGTGGCCCGCACTGCACTGTCATCACTGCACTCTGCTGCGTTTCCATCACAATGACAGTTTATGACTGTTCAGTAAACCATTCGGCCCGCGATTTAGGCTGGATTTTAGATTTTGGCCACTTCTCTGATTGAGTTCGACACCCCTAGCTTACATCTTACATGACTACAGTACAACATAAAAACCAGGAACTTGATGTTGGTACAGTGATTGGCATTTGTCTTACAAGAAGTAGAACAGTGAATGAAACAAAATCCTTGTTCTGCCTCTAATGGGGTTTAAATTTGCTGTGTTGTGTGTATGGTAGACAACATTGAAGACACTGAAGCATGCAAGAGACTGACATATTTCAGAGGGAAGGAGGGGTGTGTGGGAAGAGATTAACCAAAGAACTTATATGCATGCTGGAGGTTCGGTGCATAAACTTTATGCATGGGTAGGGTCCCTAGACCTGGCCAGCAATCAAGGCTGATCTGTGGGGTGACTGGTGGCAAGATCAGGGGTGGGGGTGGGGGCCCTGTTGTCACCTGTCTTAGAGGCAACTGGTGAGGCAATTGTGGGATGGTACTGGCCCACTGGCTGGTAGGCCCTGCCCCCCACTGCCACCTGCTCACTGGCTGGCCCCACCATCTCCACTGCCATTGCAGGTCACCTCTCTCTGCAGGGCAACTGGCGGGGTGATCAGGAGAGGTCCCCATGACACCTGCCTGGGCTGGCTTGGGGCCTGCAGGCTGAGGGAAGCTCCTGTGTTGGGCACCTGCCCCCTGGTGATCAGTGCGTGTCATAAGGACCAGTTGTTCCACTGGTCATTCTGCCGTTCAGTCAATTTGCATATTAGGCTTTTATTATATAGGATATGCATAACCCATGGACAGACAATAGTGGGGGAAGGCCTGGGGAGTGAGCAGGAGCAGGGTGGAGGGAGTTATGGGGGTCGGGGGAAAGGGGACATATGTAATGCTTTTAACAATAAATAATTTTTAAATGGCACATCAATGTAATTTAATTTATATTCCTCTCCTGAGAGAGTATGAGCTCTTTTCTCTTTTCATATGTTTTAGATCTCTGACTTTCCTTTCTGAAATGTCCATATGCTTTGCCTATTCCAGTGGTGGGCAAACTCATTAGTCAACAGAGCCAAATATCAATTGTACAACGATTGAAATTTCTTTTGAGAGCTGAAAACTGACTTCTGTGCATGGGCCACGAAGTTTCAATTGCACTGTATGTGCGCGCCTGCCCGTGGTATTTTATGGAAGAGCCATGCTCAAGGGGCCAAAGAGCCACATGTGACTCATGAGCCACAGTTTGCCAACTACTGGCCTATTCAGTTGTTGATTTATCTCCTTGTTTTATAGCTTTTTCTATATTAGGAAAATTTGTCCCTTGTCTATATGTGAGTTACATTTTTTGGACAGTTTTCTGTTGTCTTTTGACTTTTTTTTTTTTTTTTTTATCGTCACCAGAGGGTATTTTATTTCTAGAGAGAGAGGAGGGATAGGAAGGGGGGAGAGAGAGAGAAAGAGAGAGAGATGTGAGAGAGACACATCGATTGGTTGCTTTTCCCACATGCCTGGACCTGGGTCAGGTATCCAACCTACAATCCATGTATGTGTCCTCTTTTTTAAATGTATTTTATTGATTTTTTTCAGAGAGGAAGGAAGAGGGTTAGAAACATTGATGTGAGAGAAACATTGATCAGCTGCCTCCTGCACATCTCCAACTGGCTCAATTCCAGTCAAGGGCATGTACATTGTGCATGCAACCAATGTACATGCCCTTGACCGGAATTGAACCTGGGACCCTTCAGTCTGCATGTCGATGCTCTATCCACTGAGCCAAACTGTTTAGAGTGATGTATGTGCCCTTGACCAGGAATGGAACCCGTGAACCTTTGTGTGCAGGCTAACAATCTAACCACTTAACACACTGGCCAGGGAGGGCTTGTCTTTGGACTCTTATGTGGTTTTTTGCCATGTTGGATCTATTTATATTTATTAATTGAATTTATAAGTTTTTTTTAAACTCCTGGGTTTTGAGTAATATATTTTAAAAAAATATATTTTATTGATTTTGTACAGATAGGAAGGGAGAGAGATAGAGACTTAGAAACATTGATGAGAGAGAGAGTCATCGATCAGCTGCCTCTTGCACACCCCCTACTGGGGATATGCCCACAACCAAGGTACATGCCCTTGACCGGAATCGAACCCGGGACCCTTCAGTCACCAAGCCAAAGCTCTATCCATTGAGCCAAACTGGTTTTGGCTTGAGTAATATTTTTTAAAAGCCTTCACCATTTTGAGATTGTTAGAAAGAGGTAACATTTTTTCTGGTATTTTTATGATGCCATACTTTGATAATATTAATTCTAATATGGTTTTAGTTTTTACATTTAAATCTTCCATCCATTTGGAACTCATCCTAGTACAAAGCATGAGGTACAGATCCGACTTTACTATTTTGTGTAACTGTCATTTATTAAGCAATCTATCATTTCTTACTTTGAAATGCCACCATTGTCATATCCTAAATTCCTATATGTATTTGGATCTATACCTTTTTTTTTTAAAAATAAGTCTTTATTGTTCATATTATTACAAATGTTCCTCATTCCTCCCTCCCTCCATTGCTCCCATCCACTAGGTTCCCACTCCACCCTCTGCCCTTTCCCCACCCCCCATTGTCCTCATCTATAGGTGCACAGTTTATGTTCAGTCTCTTCCCACACCCTCCACTCCCCTTTTCCCTGAGAATCGTCAGTTCACTCCCTTTCCATACCTCTGATTCTATTATATTCAACAGTTAATATTGTTCATCAGATTTTTAAAAAATTCCCTTGGTTTTTAGATTCACTTGTTGATAGTTATGTATTTGTTGTTCATAGTTTTTATCTTTATTTACTTCCTCTTCTGAAAGAACCCCCTTCAACAATTCATACAGTTCTGGTTTGGCGGTGATGAACTCCTTTAGCTTTTTATTTTATTTTATTTATTTATTAGTGAAGCTCTTTATCTGGCCTTCGATTCTGAGTGATAGCTTTGCTGGGTAGATTATTTTTGGCTGTAGGTTCTTGTTATTCATCACCTTGAATATTTCTTGCCATTCCTGTCTGGCCTGCATAGTTTCTCTTGAGAAATCAGCTGACAATCGTATGGGTGCGCCTTTATAGGTAACTACTTGCTTTTCTCTTGCTGCTTTTAATATTTTCTCTTTGTCTTTTGCTCTTGGAATTTTAATTATGATTTGTCTTGGTGTGGTCCTCTTTGGATTCCTTTTGTTTGGAGTTCTGTGCGCTTCCTGGACTTGTAAGTCTAATTCTTTCACCAGGTGGGAGAAGTTTTCTGTCACTATTTCTTTCAGTATGTTTTCAATATCTTGCTCTCTCTCATCTTCTGGGACCCCCATAATTCTGATGTTGGTTCGCTTGAAGTTGTCCCAGAGGTTTCTTACATTATCTTCAACTTTCTGGATTCTCTTGTCTTCTTGCTTCTGTGGAGAAGTGTC